ATAGTGACACCAAAGTGTTTCTGCCCGAAATTGAAGAAGTTGCTTAATTCCTTTCAGAAAGTTCAGTTGCTTTCCAGCTGTGCTCTTAGCACTCAGACAGACTTCTGTATTGTAAGCAAACATAAGCGTTCTGCTCGCAATATCTCTTGTTGGCTGCAGGCTGAACTGCAGAACTACGTCAACTCGAGACTGTGAAATACTCACATATTTTTCTATAAATATAAGCTCCGCTAGAAAATCTGGCGAGTAGGGGAAGGTGTTGGACTATAAGTGTAGGAAATAAGTGTAGAAACATCTGTGCCCACTTGCGAAGGCATTCTCAATTAGCACATCAAACTGAACTAACACTTACGAAGGAATTACTATTACTTTAACGTGAAGGATACATCACGATACTTATACCCGAGAAGACAATTTCGTATATGCAAGTCTAGTTAAGCTAAAGTGTGCTTGTCTGAAAAGTTGTGGACAGATAGCCAGGTTGCGAAATCACTGCACTTTATCAATGCTTGCAAGTAAGTGGCTTGCTCGGAATCGGAAATAGAATGTGAGTCCTAAACATACATGTCTCCGCTTCAGAGTTTGTAGAGCAAACTGATTCTTGCAGATCTCTCCAGTTTTGTTAAGAATCTCTGAGATATTTTTTCAGAATATGTTAGTTTCCAATTTTTTGTTGCATAATTTTGGAGATGGATGCATTGATTTCAGTTGTGGTTTGCAATTATGTAGTAACAGAAATAGCTTGTGACAGAATAGTGTAAATGAGGGCAGTATGTCAGCTTTGCGTAACATTTATTAGAGTGATTGTGAATGAGAGCTTTTATTGGAAAATGTGATTAGAGCATAATGGTATAATGGCAACCAAACTACTGAAATCTTTATGAGTGCTTGTGGTTTTTGTTTTTGAAAATGTTTTTCATCAAAAAAATTATCATAAAATCGACTAGTGCTTACAATTTTTTCGATTACAACTAATACATTCAGTAATGCAAGCACAAAATTTGTACAGATTTTAACAGATTAGTAGCAGTTTACAGAAAAATAAAAAATTTGCATATTGCATGAAAAATACTTAAATAAGTGACGGCGCTGGTTTTGATGTATTAATCCACACTTTCTTGGTGACTGATTTCAATAAACTTTTTGCATATTAGTCAACTTTTTCCTGCAAGCAAGTGCTTTTGGATTGAGTTTTGTTCAAATTTTTTGATATAAATTATTCCATTATATTATAATCTTTGTTCTTAGTCATTTATCTTAGTTGTCACTAAGAAAGTCGGAAAACTGTTTCATTGTTGATTAACAAAACCAATACCACACCATATATTAGATATTTTTTATTTCACTGTTTCACCTCATTTGAAATTACAAAAGAACAAAAATCATCATGTACTTTTAGTCATCAACATCAAAACAAACAGAATGAACGATGAAATTTTTAAAGAAATGAAAAATAGAAAGGAAAAAAAGTGGAAAGTACAATGTTCTAAAATGATTTTTTTTTGTTTTCGTGGTTTTTCATTTTTTGAAGAGTAAATTCTTCAGATTGTGAGTTCTTTTGATTAATAAAATTTGCTTATAAATCATGGATGTTTGCAAATGAATTGTTTGTGAGGAAAAACCAGCCGATCACTCTAACAGAATATAAGAATCTGATTAGTTGAGAAGTGAAGAAAACTGTAAATAAAGTATTTAAAAAGACTAAACATGCAAAGATAGCAGTGAAAAATTCAGAAAAAATCACAATTATTGCTTAAAAAATTGCATGGGGACTTGTGTGTACTTGGAAATGAAAGTGTAATTGAATGTAGAAGATAAATGTCGAAGTGGATATACCTGAAGTGAAATTACTCTCTATTATTCTCATGAACTTCGAGATAATTCTTCAGAATTCATAATTTTGGAAGCATTTTTTCAAAATCTCGTGGAGGTTGATGTGAATGATGAAAACTAAATGTCAGAATTTTTGGAAAATTTCGACTTCTATTTCCAGTACATTATAAATGAGGAATTTTAAAAATCACATTATCAAATAATTCCGTCCTAATTTTGCCATTCGTTTAGTTTTTTTTGTTTTTATAGCGTTTCTAGCTAACAGCTGCATGCCATCTGTTCCAGAAATAAAAATAAAGAAGCAAGTTCTCATGCTTCAATTTTGAAAGCTTATCAGTAAAATATGATGAATCCCAAAGTGATCCGAAAGTCGAGCGGTTTCAAATCATATAGAACTTGCTTTGCTGTATTACATTTTTTTAGTCAATTTTTTAACAAATATCCAGTAAAAAATAAAATTTATCCACTAAAAGAAGATATCAGCGGAACAGCGACTGGTCCACCGGGAAGTGGTGGTCTGCTGTCACCAAAATCACTCAACCCACCACCAAATCCATCGAGAAACCGAGTAAAGGAACCGTATGGACTACCAAAACTTCTATATAGATCGCCTATATTTCCATTTGGACCGCCCAAACTTCCATATAAACCACTAAAACCTCCATATGGACCACTGAAACCTCCATATGGACCACCGAAACTTCCATATATACTACCGGGACCTCCATATAGACCACCGAGACCTCCTCCTAATCGACCACCGAAACCTCCATATGGATTATTAGAACCTCCATATGGATTATTAGAACCTCCATATGGGTTATTAGAACCTCCATATGGATTACTAGAACCTCCATATAGATTGCTAGAGCCTCCATATGGACCACTTGGACTTCCATATGGATTAGTTAAACCTCCATATGGACCAACGAGAGTTCTAATTGGACTGCCAAAGTTACCATAAATAATAGGGATTTGAGAACGACTTCCTGATCCAGGACGCGGATTTGTTTGACGGGAACTAGATACTGAGTTAGCATTGTTATTCATTGACTAAAAAACAACCGAGTACCAAAATTTTCAATATAATAATGAACACAGTGATGTAAAACAAAATAAAGGTGAAAATGGCAATTTTTTTTAGGATTGAAAAGGGTTCAAAATTGTTGTACCTCAAAAAAAACTTACATTACTTCCTACTTGGTTCCCGTTGAAAGAATTGACTGCAGCTCCATGCGTGAGTACAAGTAATGAGCAGAATCTAAATTCATACCATTTGACAATGAGAAGATATGATTTTTGGTATAAAATATAACCATTTTTCAGAGTAATAAAATTTAATAAAACTTACAGTAGCGAATAAAGAGCTAAGTGAGCCATAATTCCTGCAAAAAATAATACTTAAATGATATAAATAAGTGTTTTCATTCACAGATTAACTTATGTCATATAATGTGTAGTAATTGCTACAATTTTGATTATTGACTACAGCAGTAATTATATGATTACTTACTGTAATAACCACGCATTCAAATTTAACTAATTTTAGTCACTTACTGCAATAGCATCTTACTTACTGTAACAGCTACATGCTGAATATGTTCCTAAATTTTTCAGATTAAACTACAGTTAGCGTTAACTGAAGATGACAAGTAACGCTATTATGTAGTGTAGAAGTCCGCAATGATTCTTTAAAGAAAACTCGCAAAGAATTGAGCAGTTCTAAGAGCCTTTTATTACAATTTTTAACGGTAAAAATGGCACACTTTTATTCAAAAGGTTAAAATGGCTTTGGCGAATGAAATTAGTCATTTTTTAAATTGAAGTTGTTGTTTTTTGATTAGTTCATTTTTTAATGAACTGACTGACTGACTGGTTTGCCTGTAATAAAATGCCTATTCTTTTCTTCTTCTCAATTTGTTAAGTACTATTTTTTATTTTTATCATAAAACTTGATTTGAAATTTTTGAATCATTCACCTTCCTTACTGATTTGCTAAATGTAAAAAAGTAAAAAACAAAAGAAACGTCCAAATTTCAAACTATTTGTGCAGTAATGAAAGCAATTACAAATTGTTAACGGATGGATAAATGCATAATTGTACTACCATTTTGTATACAAATTTGTAATTTCTCATTTAGAAACAATCAACAAAGCATGAAAATTTAATACAAAATTAGATAAATATATTGTTTTTGTTATATTTTAGGAGACAATAAATTTGAAAAAATGATCACAGCATTGATTTGGTAATCTGTTTGATACAATTGTGCATTGATATTCAACATCTCTGTTAAAAATTATTCGTAATAATTGATGAAGGGAATAAGTTTTACTCACTCCATATAACTTGAATAATTGATTAAAATGATTTGAAATCAATCAATAAAGGTGATTAAAAAAAATAAGTTCATGAATACGAAAATGTCTTTTTTGCAAATCATACATACATCTTCGGAGTATTTGTGCTGCAAAATTGTGCTCAGATATATGTAGTCGATGATACCTACAGTGTTTACAAATAATAAAGTTATAGAATTAAATACTATTGTATTAATAGAATAATTTGAAAAAACTCTAATAAAAGAAACAAAAAAGCTAATTATTAAACGAAATCAACAATGCTTCTATAATAATTTGTTTATTAATTTTTCGAATGATAATTATACGGACAAATAATAAAGCAATAAAGGATTGCAATAAATTGGAGTTTTTAGTATTTAAATCAAAAATAAGTAGTATACTTTTGTATTTTTTGTCATTTTTTACTCATTTTATTACATCTTTTGTCTTGAATTTTTAATTTGTTAATTATTTCCTTAAAACTGTCCACTTAATTTTCTTGAATTTCCTCAGCTACTAGTTTACATACTGAAACAAGTTTAGCGCTGTAGTAGCGCTTCTTTTCACGTACACTATTCATAACTGATTAAATAAATGAATGATATTTTAGTTAATGAATTTTAAAATGAGCATTGCTTATTATGACCAGATTAATTATGCATTTCTAGTTCGTTTTTAATCCTTAATTTAATACTTAATGGTATTTTATTTTTTTTCTTTTCAAAATTTTGTAAAGTGACTGAATTAAATAATAGAAACAATTAGCGTTTTAGAACAAAATTGAAAATAAATTTATATTTTGCAAAGAAAAAAGTTAGTTAACTGATTCATTAATTGCACTAATTATAACAGCACATAAATTTAATTATTGTGACCATTATAACTATAAAATCATGCTGAATTAACTATCTTATGATTAATCATCTTATGATAGTTAATTCAGCATAATTTTATAGTATAATAGTTAGAAGTTTTTATTTATTCTTGGATAAAAACAAACAATAACGATAAGCTGGCCATATATAAAAATTACTGGCGGCTGATCCATTTGTCTGTATAACGTAATTATTATGTAAAGTTTAAATTTATTATTTTCAAAAATTTTACTTCTCAGTTTATTTAACCAATTTAAAATGAAACAGCTATTAGATTTCCAGAATTTGATATTTTTGAAAGAAGGATTCCTTTTTTATAAAAGTTGAAATTTTATCAAACTTTGTCTTAATAAATTAAAATAATATAAAATCGTTGAACAACAACAACATTAATAATATACGTATAGTTTGTATAAATTTATGAGACAATTTGCATTTTCATCAAATATACAGAATTTTTGAATTATCATAAACAGCAGATGGAAAGGTCAACATTCTGAAATTTTTGACCTTTGAGAAGTTATTGAGAAAGTCTTTAAAATTGATTTTGTTTTTGCAGATGCTTTGGAATGTTTGCCATGACATTAATCGTTGGCTGTTATGACAAAAAAACCTTTCAGAATTTTTTCGACACAATCTTTTGGATATAATAAATCATCATCTATCACATCTGGTAATTCAAGTAAATTTATATAGGAGTAAGCAGCATGATTCAATGCATCACTCATTCCTTGATGATTCACCTCATGATTCATAGATACCACTGGAATCACATACTGTTTAGAATTTATTTATATCACTGCACGTGGAAAATCAGTTGCTTCTGTAGACATTGCAAAAGATTTCAGTAATATATTAGATGTACCATCTTTTATTGTTGATAAAAGTGGTTAGAGATAATTTGTAGACTATTTTTACATGTAATTTGTCTATTAAATGTTGTAGTGCTGACGGAAAATGGTATTCCATTTAATCTGTGCAAATTTGAAAACTAAGTAAGAAAATTATTAAACGTAAGTATCAAAAAAAAACTCAGTCAAACAATTTGAATAACTTTTTAAAAAGATTTAAGCAACAAAAAAAGCAAATATATACTTTTTATACAATTATTATTTTATAAGTGCTTTTGAAGAATGAAATAAAATGCTAGACTTACATTATTATGGAATAATTAGGCTATTAAATGATGAAGTATTAAATAATTAGTATGAATGATTAGGTATAAATGATTGAGTATTAAATAATTCATAAAAACAACAGTTCTGGAATATACTTTTGAAAACAGAAAATTATAATAAAGTTATTGTAAATTGATGAAAACAATCAAAATAATAAGTAATCAATTCCTTTAAAATTTGAATTCTGTTATGCAGTTTTCTTATTTAATAAATAATATAAAGTTTAATAATGATGATAAGTTACCATGTCAAAATGATATAATCAAGACTTGTGACGATTAGTTAAAATACTAAAAAATTTACTGAACTATCTTGAGGACAAAGTTCATGCTGGTTTGAACTGATCTACAAATGACAATTCTGGCGGTCTGAACTGATCAAAAAATGATAAAATTCTAGTATGCAAATACAAAAGTTTAAATACGACAAATAATGATTTTTAATTAAGTTTAGTTAAAACAAAAAAATGAATTTTCTCTTCGAAAATAAACTGTAAATTAATGATTTACTTTTTTTGAGTTTTAAAAAAAAGCCATTAAATGACAAAATTTTATTTACTTCTCTCAACCCAATAACTTGTAATGCAGTCAGCAGTTCGGAAATAAAAAATGATGTTGGAAGTTGATTTTTAATGAATTGCAGTGTAATAAAAGTCTATAAAAAGCAGCATTTTGCGGATTTATTTAAAGCAGAAAGTTACAACTAATCAAAACTGATAATCACACACTTGTCGTGATCTGCAGTACTTGTAAATGAATGATAAAAGTACTTAATACTTGATCTATTAATTTCTTCTGCTTTTTTAATTTGATGAACAATGCAATTACAAATTAACATGAGACGCCATACACTGCAAAGAATCTGGAATCTGGCGTATTTTACGTAATTTACTCAATGAATGATACTTATGTGATATGAGTTTTCATGCAGACATGAAAATTTGCACAATTTATGTAAACCAAATTTAAATCATCAGCGACGGATATTAGGCGTTTTCATATTCTTATTATAATGATTCTTTACTTGAAAAAATGCTTAATGTACGCTTGTATTGTGAAGTAATGCATATATATGTATATGCATTTTACGTAATTTACTATGTTTTTTTTACTCATTTAATATGCACATAAGTTAAACATTCGTATATATATATATGATTGTTTAACTTTTGAAAGTTTCGATAACATTAAATGAGGAAAAAAACAAGGTTATAGGCACATTTTTTAAAATTTTGCTAAAATATTGAAAAATGTAAAGAAGAGAAATTTTTTGATTTTTGATAAATGATAAAATCCAAAACCACTTTTTCCATTCCTTCCAATTAATTAAAAAAATAATCAGTTTTTTATGGTAACAAATTCGAAATGAAAATATATTATTTCTATATATACACACACAGTTAAGTGCTAAAATTGATACATAGTTCATTTTTAAGGTAAATACAATACCAAAACTTATCATCAACACTTGCTGGCATAAGTAAAGAATAAATAATACGAGAAATCAAATTTGATAATGTATTCAGAGTAACGTTGTAGATCTTTTGAAAATTTTTGAATACAAGAAAATCATTTTTTCACCAATTTAATGCTTTGCGTATTAAAGGTAATTTATAGTTTTTATTATTCACTACGGCAAATTTATGATAGTATCGCAATTTCAAAGTTTGACATAAAATACAATTACTTCCAATCTCACAACTAATTACAGCAAATCAAAAGGATTCGAGTTTAGATATAGAAACAATTAAGACTATTCGATAACTTAGTACTTAAGGTGAAAGTTCAGAGCATATAGAATGTAAAAGAATTTCAAGGTTGTAGTGAAAGAGTATATGCATTCCAGTTAACAATATGATGTTGAGGGTTATTACTGGAGCCTATAACAAAATATGGTATTAATCGACTATCAGGGGCGACGCCATAACTTGGAGAAGGTGCTTCAAAGTAATCGAAGGAACTAGAATATGGCATACCATAAGCAATAAATTTGTTAACTTGAGGTCTCTTCTCCCTAAATAAAAAGTTCTCTGGATCACTTGGTAACCTTGCATATGCTCCATTTAAAAGGTAGGGTACATAACTAATGCTACCTATAAATGGTTCACGTTCACCTGTGCCACGTACAAAATTTGCTACCGGCGGATATAATAAGGTAGCAAGATAGCCGGCATTCTGAGGTATTACATTTTCTCGTCCAGTATAGACATAGTATCCTCCAGAAGTTTGCGAAGACGGCCAATATCCACTATAACCTGACCCATATTTGAGAGGTATGGGTGTTGTTGATATTACTGGTGCATAGTTTGGCGGACTAGTACTGCGTCTTCTAAGAGAACTTCCGAAAACTTCATTTGCGTTTTTCTTGAATGACTTAAATAAATATCTATTATTATCAGCAAGTAATTTCTTTCTAATTTCAATTAATATTCTTCAAATTCGAAAGTCTTACAAAATTATCAAAAAAAAAAAACATTTTTGAAAAAAGTTGTTTTCGATACATACATTTCAAATATATATAAATATAAATATATATATATTTTTTCAAAATAATTTAATATCGAATAATATATGTTTAAAATTAACATGATCACCGGCGACATTGCCATTGAATGAATTAACTGCCGCAGAATTAGCGTGCGAAATCAAGGAGAATAAGCTGAAACACTAACTTTACTCACATTACATTTCAACTTTACTCACTCAAAAAATTTGCACATTTCTTGAGTGAAAAATGACATTTCGAAAATTGAAATTTTTAAAAAGAATTGTCAAAATTTCCATCAAAACTGACTGCAGATTTCACTATAAAATAAATATAAAGTAATCTCTAAATTTCTCAGGCTTTTTAATAAATTTTCTGACAGCTACGCAGCAAATTTTTCAAATACTGCAGAATTCTAGCAGTTAGAATCTTGCTAGGCATTTGTTATAACATATGCTTGAGAATAACTCACGCAGTTAGAATAGCTAATATTCGTCGTTCCATATTGTTTTTCGTAAATACTTCTCCTTAAATTTGCGAATTCGAAACAAACTTATTCGCAAGAAAAGAAGTCGCTAATCTTACTAATAATATTAATTTTATTCATTTAGCACTTGAAGAAAAGTTTTGAATAAATCGAACTTAAAAGCAAACTTTTAAATGGTTTTTTGAGTAATATTCATCAAATACGAAGTATAATTAATAACAAATTGTTACTATTCTGTTTTGATAGTAAAATAACATATGAATTTAGCTCTAATACAATAAAATTTCAAAGCCGAAAATAATATTTAATTGGTAAAAATTAGCGAAAATACTGAAAGTACGCAAGCTTTAAATAGCAAAAAAATTCACACACAAATTAATTTTAAAAAAAGATTAAGAACCGGTAAGTTTGATGCAAACTCAGTGCATTTCTCGCGATTTTAATCATTACTTTGCTTTTTGTTATAATTTGGAGCAATAAAGCAAGAAAAAAACAAGAAAATAGCTACTTTTGCTTGAAATAAAACTCATTTTTGTATTACATTTTGTGCTATAATTTTAGCAATTACATTAACTCATTCATTCATTTTGTTTTACTTTTCAAACAATATCACTTTTATCCATTTTTTATTTTGCACTAATCTTTTGCTATATATTTTATGGCTATTTATTTTTGCTTTGCGAATAAATTGCGTCTTGCAAATTATATGCGATAAATTTGAAATGAAGACTTATGAGTTTGCACTGTATGTAACAGCAATCAATAATTTTTGAAGCAAAAATAATATAATCATATCATAAAAAGTATTTTTTAATAACAGTGCAAATCAAAGCATGAATATATATGTTACTATTTATATTATTATTATTATTATTATTATTAACTTTTTCAAATTATAACGTAATTGCTGCTCTTTTTATCATTTTCAAATTTGCTAAAAGTATTATTTTGTAATTTAATTTAATTCTATTTTCATGTAAAATTAATAATTCAGTTTTACATTGAAATTTGCAAAATTTTATCAAAAAATAAACTTATTCAATTAAAAGATAGAATCGATTGTTTGAATTTTGAAGCAAAGGCAATCATGACGTATGCAAGAAAAAATCAAAAAAATTAGAATTGATCACAAATGTTTCCCTTCGTCTTTTTTGATCTCAGGAAAGAAACAATTAACTTCGAAAAGTTTGCTTACTTTATAAAGTAAATTCTGTATGTATTGTATTAATTGATTAACAGTACTGATCAAAAACTGTATTTTATGATTGATAAATTACTGAAAACTTTAATCTTTTGTTTATATCAAACAATATTTCGAATCTAAAATTGATAATTATATTTTTTAATTTTATATCTCTTTAAAGTTGGTAATTTTTGGCAATTAAAATGAAAAAAAAAATTGCTTCAAAATTAAATGCAATTAAAAAATATAATTTTCCATTAAAACTTGGTGCAAATTTGGTTCAAAATCTTTTCTGCTTCATTTCAGGTCAGGTCAGTGTGTTATCTAAATTCAGATTAATTTTGCGCGAGAAAAAATATTGAATGAAAGAGAAGAAATTGATTAAATTTGAATACAATTTGTGGCGAATATTTGAATAATAACTTTTTTCTCAGTAATCAAGTTCCGAAATCAAGTCATACAGAAATTTGTCAGAAAAAATAAAAAACAATTTTGAAGGCTATTTTTGTCATTTTGATTTGCTAACCTGTTTGTCATTTTCAAGCATTTTCAATGATTTCTTAAAATTTTGTGAAAAATTCAAATGTTTAACAATTTTGGTAATTTTATGCTTGAAAATTTTAACACTTTAATAAAAAAACTTGCATATTTTTGAACTTATATACTTGAATTTTTGAATTTTTGTACTTTTTTAAAAGTGCATATTTTTTGCAAAAGTGATCTACAAATGAATGTATAATTTTACTTTTAAGAAAAAGTTTTCAAATTATAAATAGTTATTCTGAACTAATTTAATTTAAAAATTATTTCATTTGAAAACTTTTGATCATATTTAGTGATTATAGTGAAAAATGTATGAAAACTGAAGCAAAAAATGATTTGTCAACGATAAATTCATGTTAATTTGCAAAATTAATGACTAAAACATTTCAAATTTAACGTGTAATGATAACATGACAAGCGTGACATCATAATAGATAAATTATTTTAATAAATCTCACTGATTTAGCCGTTATCAGTACTCTAATAACTCTCTCGCCAAAACTGATTTATTTGATTTGACAAGGAGAAACTTGTTCAGTCTCTAAAAAATGCTCCCATCACTCAGAAATACTTAGTTTTATTCTGCGATGAATTCATTGCATCATTGGATTTGTACAACTGTAATATCAAAAAATGTGCATTTGAAATGAATTTATGAAAACCAAAAAAATTATTAAAATGCAAAATTTTATTTTTTGTAATCATTCGAAAATCCAAGTGTGTGATCAAGTATGAGAAAACTAAATATCAATAATTATATAAGTAAATGCCTTCCAAAAAGTTTTGATAATTTGATTTCTTGATTAAATCAATACTGCTTCGATCACATAATCATCACAAAGAAAAACATTCCAATATGATCGATAATTAATAATTATCCATTTGATCACTTTGATAATTACGAATGATACATACTTTTTATGACTTCCAAAGGCAATAATTCATATAGTTTCCAATGCAGTAATCAAAGTTTAATTCAATTTTTAAATCGTAAATGGGTAAAACATTTTGAAGCACTTTTGTCATTCTGTTTGATCGGAACAACAATTAACTTTAATTGGTTTGTGCTATTTTTTGATCAAAATTATTGATTTTTTAATAAGAAAAATTTGATTTTTTAAAATATCTAATTGCTTGCAGTTAAGCAAATTGAAAAATGAACAGAATTCAAGTTTCAAATTATCTATTTTAAAATTTGAATGAAATGATTATTCCAATTTTTTGCAAAATTATTATTATTGGTCAAACAATATGAATCATCATATTTCTGTAATTATTAAGAATGAAAAACAGTATTTTCAGTCAAATTCAATTATTTGACAACGAGAAATAATAGCAAAACCAACTGATATCTATAAAAAGGCTATGTAATTTCGATTAATCACGACCTCTTTTGTGAATAATGACCAAATAAAACAGTCTTATAGCAACTCTAAATCCGGGAGATCACCGTAAGAAACTTCAGAATTTCCTATACCATTAACGACCTGTAATTACAATAATTAGTAAAAACAGCTCACAAAACTGTGAGAATGAAAGGTACAAACTTTTTCTCCAATTTACTATAATTTTAAAAAGCAAAGGTCAAAGGATGTGATAAATTACATTACCAAGATACTGTAGTTTTATCACTTTCAGAAGTTCAATGCAATGAATTATTTCATACTTTTGTGATAAAACAATTTCGGATAATTAAAATTGATCAACTGATTCAATTTATAAGTGGTAATACTTTTTTTGTTCAAAACTTACTTCATGTCTTTTATTAAAATTCCTCTATGAAATGGAAAAACTGATTAATTTTTTATCATCGATGCAATTGCTAATATCAATACATTGTTATTGTGCTTGATTTAAAAGAGATTCATACTGCTCAGTAAGCTTAGGCTTAAGACTGAATTTACAAAATACAAATTATTAAAAATAGTAAAAAAATCTTTTTTCAGTAATAATTTAACCTATTGCATTTTAATTAATGAAAGGAAGCAAAATGTAATTCCGTGATTGAAGTATTTAATTTATATTATTCAAATATTTAATTTTAAATATATTGAATCTAGTTTTGTGATTTTCGCTTTTTATTTTCAAAATGACGCACGCCATTTCCGACTTGCAACTTATTGAACGAATTAATCGCAATTGCAGTGAATATGTGGATTTGTGAAAATCTGCAAGTTCATTATATTTGTGCGAAATTGCAAAATTATACTACTAAGAAAGAATAAAAAACAAAATCATTAATAAATATATGCAAAACTTACAATACAGCGATTATTAAGGATAACATTGATTACTTGGATACAATGCAATTTTGATAAAAGATTTAAGCTTCTCAGTAAATAACCTAAAATAAATTTTTTGAAATATCATTTGCTATTTATCAAAATAGTTTACATTTTTAAATTACCAAACACAAATACAAAAATAAATTCAATATTCACTCATCCCATTTGAATTCTTATTTCGATTAAAAATGTAATTCTATTTGTGCTTGCTTAAAGCTTTCAAATTTATTCAAATAATATTTCAATTTCGATGTAATAATGTGAATTATATCACTAAATTAATCGCAACAAAGCAAAACAATCAGTACTGATACTGTTATTATCACTTGTATTTCCATTCTTATCACTGACAGTTTAAAATCTTTAACGTACAATGCATACAAGTATGAATCAAAAATGCAAATCAAACATCAAAGAAATAAAATAAAATTCAGACGAACAAGTCTTCGTTGAGGCACACACTACGACTATTCCATCATTTTGCAGAACTGAAATGTGGCATCAGTACGGCATCAGTACTCGTACCGCCTGCTTTCTGTTTTTCATTTCACATATTTACAGTAATTTTATTATTAACTGTAATATTTGTACTAACTGTAACGCTCATTGCATAATTAGTCATTTTCAATTTTTTCTTCACAAAGTACTTTATTTCAGATTTTTTTGTAATTTTTGTTTTGGAGAACTGAAAAGTATCAATAATGCACGACTGGAAGTTAAAAACGAGTGCACTTCAATTGATATTTTTGATTTCAACAGCTAAAGTTAAGAATTAAGCTAATGCTATAATTCACTTCATATCACTACTTGACCTTTGTTTTTGAACTCACTAATTTGATTAAATTGGTCAATTCAAGTACCAAAGTTTCATACAATATTCCAAAGCTTTCATCGCAGAAAAGGAATTCGAAAAAATTAGTCTTTAAATATCTTTCTTAACTCTTAGTTTGCTCCAAATTCCATTTTGTATTAATTATTTCTATTTTGGATAATATGAAAAAAAAAA